CCTAAAAAGAAACCCCACAGTCTTCAACTGTCACCCTTTACCTTATTTCTCCCCTAGCAGCCCTAGGCAACCACTAATCAATTTTCTGTTTCCATCAATTTACCTATTCTGGACTTTTTATATGAATAGCATTATACAGTATGTGGTTTTGTGTGTGTGTGTGTGTGATGGGCTTCTTTCACTGAGCACAATATTTTCAAGATTCATCTATGTTGTAATATGGATCAATGCTTCATTTTTCATTGCTGAATAATATCCCATTGTATGGATGTACCATATTATATTTATCCATTCATTGGTTGATCAGTATGGGCTGTTTCCACTTTTGGGCTATTTTGAATAATGCTTTGGTGAATATTTGTGTACAAGTTCTTGTGTGGACACATGTTTTTGTTTGGCCACATGGTAACTCTGAGTTTAGCTATTTGAGGTTAAACATAACTGCCTGACTCTTTTCCAAAGTGGGCACCACTTTCCATTCACACCAGTAGTGGGTGAGCATTCCAGTTTCTCCACCTCCTCACCTACAGTTGTCTATTATAGTCATCCTACTGCATGTGAAGTGGATCGCACTGTGGTTTTGATTTGCATTTCTCCAGTAACTAATGATGTTGACCATCTTTTCATGTGCTAATTGGTCATTTGTATGTCTTCATGGATTACTTTATACTCAAATCCTTTGCCCATGCTTAATTGAGTTATTTGTCTTCTTCTTATTCAGTGTAAGAAGTCTTTATATATCCTAGATATACATCCCTTATCAGATATAACTCACTGCTGTCAAGTCGATTCTACTCATAGCAGTCCTTCCTTGGGTTTCCAAGGCACTTTCTCTATGGAAGTAGATTGCCAAATCTTCTTCCCAAGGAGTGACTGGATGGTTTGAACCTCCAGCCTTCTAGTTAGCAGTCACATGCCTTAGGCACTACGCCACTTGGAAGGCAGATTGGGCAATCTACTTCCATAGAGATACCTACCTCCTAGGAAATCCAAGGAGGGGTCACTGTGACTCAAAAGGAGTGAGTTTTTATCAGATATATGATTTGCAAATATTTTCTCCCATCCTGTGGGCTGCCTTTTCACTTTCTTATTGTGTCCTTTAACTGTAATGATGTCCACTTTATCTATTTTTTTTTCTTTGTCATTCTGTTTTTGGTGTCATGTCTAAGAAGTTATTGCCAATCCAAGGTTAAAAGGATTTCCACCTGTGTTTCTTCTAAGAGTTTTACAGTTTTAGCACTTACTTTAGTGTCTGTGATCCACCCTTCTGTATGGTATTAAATAGGGATCCAAATTCATTCTTCTGCGTGTAGCTATCCAGTTCTTCCAGCACCATTTGTTGAAAATGGAATTGACCATGAGATTCAGCAACGTGAGGGTCATCAGTGATTTCCACAACAGCTGACTCCAGTGTGGGGACACCTGACTGCAGGGGTGCAAGAGGAGATGAGAAGAGTTGGGGTCAGCCCTTACAGAGGATTCCTTCCAGGGGCTTTGCTGCAGAGTTGGCAAAGGCCCTCCAGCGAACCGCGGGGAGAACTGTGTAGTCAATGCACGTGCTCAACAGGGGGCCTGCCATCAGCTTCCTGCGCTGCTTCACTGAGGAGCTTAGGGGACCCTCTCATGAAGCCTGCGCCCTGGGCATGGTCTCTGTTGTAATCTGCTGGGAATCCCTCAGCCTGCCCTGGGGTTGGGGCCTTCCTTTAGGACCCTCCCAGCTACTTAGAAATAGTCCTCTGATTCCTTCTGAAGAGCTCCAAGTTCACTTCAAGTATCAAGCTTTTAAAGGATGCATTTCTGCAGGAAATTGACGAAGACTTTCTATTGACCCAGTAGTGGGCTGGCCCCATCCGATTGGCGCATCCAGGTCTGGGTCCTCTGCCCCGCTGGCCTTGGGAAGAGTCCTGTGTCATCCAGCTGTTCTGCTCTGAGGCGCGTCTCCAGGACGTGGTTCAGCTCATGCACCGCGGGTCGCAGAAGGAATGACCGCTATGTAACATGGAAGTTGCCTTGTTCGTTAGTGATGTTTCCCAGGCAAGGGGAGCCAAGGCAGGGTGAAGAGAACTAG